AATTATAAAAATAATAATAATAAAAATGATTCTTGTAAATTATTTTCAAATTTCAATTAAGTTGTAACTTAATTATATTATAAGAAAATTTAATTGTGCCACAAGTTACAACTCAATTGTACCATTTTTTAATTGTAATATCTATCTTTAAATAATAATTTAATTAATAAAATTATAATAATAAAATTTTATAATAGTTTATTTTATTAATAAAGTTATAAAATTTATAATATTCTATAAATTATTTTATTTTTATTTTATCTTTAATTTAAAATAAATTAAAAATTTTATATAAATAAAATAAAAATTTTTAACAGACTATTTCAAACTATTTTATAAAAGTATATTAAAAATAGTTAAAAATTTTATAATTTAATAAATTTATAAATATGATTTATTAGATTATATTAATTTGATTAATTTATTAAATTTTATTTTTTAACTTATAATTTAAAACCTAAAATTTTATTTTTCTTCATAAATTAATAATTATTAATATAATTAAATTTTTAAATTATAATTCTTTATAAATCTATAATTTTATTTATATATTAAATCTAATTTTTAGTTACAATCTACTAGTATTTGCTTTTATTTAGACTTTAGTGTAATTGTAAAGACCAACCAGTATCAACTCAATTATTGAGCAGGCGGACAGATAAACATATGTGTAACATTAGCTTCTATACATATATAATCCTATACTTCATTCTGAACTAATAATTCTACACAATATAACTCTACAAAAGTAAATGTATCTATATAAGAAAATGATTTATACTATATATTATCCAATTCATTTTAAAAAATTTGTATAACTCATCACTTTTATGAAATAAGCAATAATATTTAGCAATATTAAAGCTTTTGCATTACAAAAGTAATATTATCTACCATAGAGTTGACTAGATTTCTATATTGAATAAAATAAACATAAAGAAGTCAAAAGTAAAAGTCTAGTAAAATAATATGAAAGATAATTTTTTTTTTTTAATTTATAACTTTTCAATTATAAATATATTTAAATTTCCGGGTCGACTCGAATTACCATTTTATCGTGGGCATAAAATTTTGTGTAACTGGGAACGCCTTGACGTTTGAGTCGATAAAGTGTATATTTCCAAAATAGTAACTTTCCATGGTATTGTTCTTTGTTTTGTGGGAAACTGGTCACGATAATTTACCATTTCTGTAATTAGTGTAAAACTTTATTAACTCCTTTTTACAACAGTTTCCGCTTCCTTAAATCTTTAATTGTTATCTTTTTTTTTTTTTAACATTAATATAAATATGTAATAAAAACGTCACATTTTTATCCCGATTGTTTGCATAATCGAACATTACCATAATACTATGTCTGAAAGTGCTAATGTAAAGCCATTCGTTTGCAAATGGGATACTCATTCAGAACCACAGCACTTTGAAACCCAGGAGAAACTTAGAAAGCATATCGCTGAGCACGACATCAATTCTTGCAACAAATCATGTTTAAGAGACCCATTATATATATGTCCGTGGGAAGGTTGCAATAAACAACAAAGTGATATTATTAAATTAGAAGGTATAAAAATATGTCAAGTACTTTTTGGCTTTGCTAGCTTCACCGATACTGTAAAAATAATATTATTATTATTGTATCTTGCAGAGCATTTACGTAGACACACTCAACAAAGACCATTTAATGTAATCCCAAAAAATATTTTACCTGTATATTTTTTTGTAAGCACAAGGTTGACTGAAATGACCTTGTTTTTTAATATTTAGTGCCCAATTTGCAATGGTTCGCGATTTGATTCCCCTGATACGCTAATCCGACATTTGATTATCAAACATAATGATTTCGTTTTGGACTCTGACACCGATGATTATACATTGTATGATGAGAATGAAGAATTGAATTTAGGTATGTTACCATAATTCTTTTCTCTGTTGAAAATATAGCGTGGATTGCAGTTAAATAGATCTTTGAATTTAATTAATAACAAAATATATTAAAGACTATCCTTGTTATTATACATTATATGTTATATTCTAACATATTTTCTTTTCTTTAAAGGGAAAGTCAAAGATAAAAACGATGTTCACGTGAAGAAAGTGGTCAGCAAAGACGAAGCTGCCATTTTTATTAAAGAAAACAATAAAGATGAAATCATACCACTAAGTAATACCGCAAAAATATCTTATCGTGATGTTCGAACCAAAGACACAGACGATTTTATGACTAAACGTTATAAACATGAAATGGCTTTTTGGGATTTATTTAATAAGGGAATAGAAGCAATTTCATTATTACCGGATAGTCAAATTGAATATGATTCGGAGAATGAAAACTATGATGATTTATCCGATGTGTCACAAGAAGTATTGTCCGAGTCCGAACAGGACAAACTTATTTTTGAAACATTTCGTAAAGTTTATAAAGATACAAAGGCTGGTGAATACTTTGAAAAAGCCTTTGAAATGTTGGAAAGGGGACCTTGAGCATGGATCCTTTTATTATTGATTCACATTTACAGCAGAAATTCTTAAATTTTTTTTTTATGAAATATTTTCTTTCGATTGTTACCAATTATTTAGAAATTACGCCAAAGGATAACAAAAAATTGTTAAAAAAAACTGCACGAAATTGATCGTTCAATAAAATAGCTGTGTATCTTTATTAGATTGAAAGATTAGTTCCTTCTATAAACCCATTCTGCGCATCTTTCGAATGCTCTCGGAAAGTCTTGCGCCTGATTAGGAGCTAGGTGTAATAGCTTGAGAGCATCCTCAAATTGCTTAGAAAGTGCTGATGCAGGTGCACCCTCTGTTCAGGTTATCTTTTTGAATAACACTATTTGTTTCGTGCTTTTTATAGTTAAATAATACCATTATATCTTTTACTGTCATCCCAATAATTTTTAACTAAAAAGAAACTCGTTCCTTAATTGCTCGGTTTTTCGTTATTTGATTATACAACCCACCAAAGTTATAGAATTTTTTATGGTCTTATTGTAGGCTTGTAAGAAAAGATCGTACCATAATCCAATGATGTGGCAGATATCATTCATCGCATTCAAGCCTATTCTCACCAAAACATAGATCTAGAAGTATTAAATTTAAATTTAAAATAGCTAAGTGTCTGTATTAGACCCAAATGTACATAATTTTTCATTTTTTTCGACGATAGCGCCTTTTCGGGTAATTACACTGTTTCATTTGTCGTCATGGACTACTGGAACGTTGACCTTCAATCCTATAACTGAACCACGCTAGGATCCACTTGCATGTTGTTTTTTGATCCATGCATTCCCCGTTCTTTTCGTAAAATGTCGCCATAATGAAGGAAGGAAAGAGTATAAGTCGTAGTTATTACGTTATAACGAAGTTTCCCATTTTAATAAATGACTCCTTCCATGATGTCATAAATTTTATTTGATTGATGTCCAAATTCGATTTTTGGATCGAT